AATATGTGATGTACTGTTTACATTCTGTTTGCACATGCATAATTGCACAATGACTGCTGACTGCTGCACATGCTGCTCCCATGCAGCATACATTCTGTTATATTTTTGTATATTTCTTTTCTACTATATTGCTGCATCTGCGCTGCTTAAAGTGCCTTAGATTTTGTGTTATTTATTTATCTACTTTATATTTCATTTGTATTTTGTGGCATTCATGTGGACGGCAAAGTAAGAATTTCATTGTACAGGGAAACACGTTTCCTAACTGTGCATATGACAAAATAAACACTTTGAACTTTGAAATATATTTATACAATCATCAAATGACTGTATACACAGGAAAGGATACAGTTGTGTCCAATGCATATTGCACAGAAGTGAAGCAGGGCAGGTGTGCCTGGCAGCAGCAGCAGACCAATCAAGAGAAACAGCCAGGGGAGAGACCAGACTGGCAACCACCTCAGCAGCTTCCTCGGTGTTACCTGGCGACACTGGGCTGTAAATAGAGCCAGTAAGATGGCAGAATAACCACAAATCCGACTCGCCTCACCCCCACCGACAAAGAGGACCAGGGTATAAACAAGAGGTAATAAGATCATTGTCAGGATGGAGAGGGTGAGGAAGGCAACTGTCCCCCAGCGTCGCTCCTGACACGGTCCAACCAGCAACAGGAGAGCAACACTGACCAGTAGAGAGGAAAGCTCATCATGACTGAGAGCATACAGGAACACATCTGGGAGGGCATAAGGAGTTGAGGGAGATATTGAAAACTGAAATATCAGACATGCATTTAAGTTAATGAAACAAGCCATTCTGAAGCAAACTTACCTCTGAACCTTGGGAAGTCTCCGCCTGGACCTAAGCTGAGATTTGACTGGATACCCCCAGCATATATGAGCAGCATGAGTGTTATCAATGAAGCTGTTCCCAGGGTAATCCAGGGCGATCTGCTCCAAACCAAAACCATACTGATAATATACGCCCAAGCATTGTTTAAGATCAGCAGTAGTTTGTCCACTCACTTGTCCTTTTGTCGCACAAAGAAGCAACCATCTGCTGGTTCTCATAACAAGCACAGCGTCTTGCAAAAAGAGACAGGATGCGAACAGAAACGTATTTATTTCTCACAATATGAGAGTGGGAGCTGGAGGCTATAATATACTATCTGCAACTGGCTACAAAATCCTCAACGATTTATCTTGTCAAATCCCATCTGCCAACGACATGGCAGCTTATATGCTGAATGAGTCCACAAGTTTATCCGGTCTTCTAAAATAACCATATCCTCAAAATGTGAGTAATAAACGCTTTCAGTAAAGAAAAGTCTGAATATAAATATTTACTAGATTATGTGGATTCCCACTTCCGTACTACGGTATGTCGTCTTCTTTGTGTTTATTGGCAGGTGGGGTGCAAACAGAAAGATGCATTACCGCCACCTATTGGACACCTCATCCCCCTCGTCCTCGTTCTTCTTGGTTTTATTCTCCTTCTTCTGCTACTTCCTCCAACGATAAGGAACATTACTGCCACCTACTATGTTAGTGTGGACCAAAGTAACTACGCCCCCCCCCCCCC